TATTTTTTAACCAACTCAACCAACACCAATACCACCACTGGTTCTTGACACCATTGACTCTATCAGTATGCACATGGGCTTTTACTATTCCTAATATATTTTTGAATGAAAAAAGAAATTGATGAATTATTTTTGAATATTTAAAAATGAAAAAGTAAAGAAAATATTGTTAAACTATGAAAGAATATTCTTTGAAAGAGTAATATTAGTATTAGTAGTAGTATAATAACAGCAATACTAAATTGAATAACGTACGAGGAGGAAAGAGAACGAGCAAGGGTATTTATTATCTTACAAGGGGTAAAAAAAAAAAGAAAAAGTAAGAGGAGGAAGAAAAAGGGGGGAATGATAACGTTGAGATAGAAGTGAAATCGTGGTAGAGAAGCAAACTCTTGAGAGTGGAAAAGGAAGGCCGCGTGAGATCCTGGTAATATCGCGGAAAGTGTTTGCTCAGGTTGTCTCGACCGAGCTTGAAGCATTAAACCGACGTCGAGAGGGTTCTTTCACTCTGGGATTCAAGAAGCTGCTACTGCTACTGCTGGGTGTGCTGGTGGTAGTGGTGTTGGGTTATAGTAGTAGTAGTAACCTTTTCCTTTTCTTTTTTCTTTATCTTCTTCTTCTACCACGTATTTTTTTCCTCTATTCCTTATACTTGTATTCCCATTTTTAAGATCTCACTATTTTTCCTTCAGCAAAGATCAAGGGGTTAACTATGATATAACCCCCCCTCTTTCTTATATGTCCAAATTTTTAATATATTTTTTTAATTGGTTAATGATGTGGTGTATTACCAGTGATCCCATTCGTACGATAATTATCGTACACGTCACATAATTAGAAGCATTGTACGATCGTAAATCCAACTTGTACGATAATTTTACGATAATTCGATATGTAAATATAATTTTCGATATGTCTCGATTTTGTTTTTGGATCACTGGGATCACTGTGTATTACCTAGGAATACTAATATTTTTAGGTTAGGTTATGATGTTAGGTAAAAATAATTGGTTAACATAGATTTGGTTAGGTTATGATGTTGTGTACCACCTAGGAATATTAATATTTTGATTGGTAATCTTCTATGAAAGTTTATTGGGTGATTATTATTAATAATATAAGTTTTCCACCATTTCCATGACAAAGATCATTAAAGGGTTAAATGATATGATCCTAACTTATTGAAATCTTAAACATTTCTTATTGGATAATAATGTGATACCTAGAAATATATTTTTGTTGGTTAGAAAGTTTATTACAAATTAAATAACCTAATATTTTATTTGAATTCCTAAAAATCCACCAAACCTAATACAAAATCCTTGACAATTATAACCTGTAATAATTGATTTTTTCCAAGTGTACAAGTAAAGTAGTACCCCCCCCAAATCAACGTTTAACATTTTTATTAACAAAAATGATAACTTTCAAATTTAATACATCCTCATTAACATTTTATTTGACTTTCTAAAATTCCACAAAACCAAAATTCAAACTCAACTTAAAAATAGCAATAAAAAACAAGAAACTAGCCTAATATAATTCTAGAAAAATACTACAATGAAAATCAATGAATTAAAAAATAAATAAAAACGATGACGATGAGAAGAACTAGTTAAGGTCTCCATCAGTCCCCATAACTCCCAACCCACAACAACCCCCAGCCCCCCAACAGCCAATAGAGTACATTCGTTACGAAAGAGTAGGTTATAAAGTGGTTGTGATGATAGCATTGGTTGTTATTAGTAGTAGTAAGGTTAGATACGAAGAAGATGAAAAAGGAAATACGTTAGTATGAGATGGTAAAAGATAGGAAGAGTAGGAGAAGGGGGTTGGGGTTGGGGTTGGGAGGTAGGGGGTTGGTTTAGCGTCTGTGTTAGCTTCGATTTGAAGCTTTGGCCTCCTGGGAAATGTGCGTAATCGTTGTGTATATCCCGTTCAAAACTCAACCGGCGACGGGATTCCTCGTCTCTCTCTCGTTGGGCAATTCCCGTTTGTTTATGCGCCACGATGGTATGTGGTGGGGTAGTGGTAATGGTGGTGATAGTGAGATAGTGATGGTGTATAGTGACAGCAATCATGGGCATGGGCTTTCCCGTCGACGACTTTCCCTATTAGAGGACTGTTTTAGAAATTCTGAGCCCTTTTGTGAGGTACACTCTCTTCTTCTCCTTCTCGCTGTTAGTAAAATACAAAAAAGAAAAAGAAAAGAAAAAAACTAGAAAGAGAGAGAGAGAGAATGAGAAACTTAGGCATCCCAATGGCATGAACTACTTGTGTGTATGTGTGTGTGGGGGTGATTTATACTTTCTACAAAGGAATTATACTTTTCTGGTAGGAGGTTGGGGTGGGGGTATAGGAATCTCGATAAAAAAGAACTATTCCTGAATCGTTCCTATTCAAATTATTATCCGAGAATAAACTGCAACATAGTTTTTTTATTTTTTTTGCTGCATTATTGTTATTTTTGTTCTTTTTTTGTGTTTAACATATTTGCGCTAGCTCAACAAATCTCTTTCAATATATAATATACCAACATTAATAATAATGACCCAACAATTATTATTCTTTTTGCATAGTCTAACACAACAACCCAACTTTTATAGGAACAAACAAAAAAGATCAACTTTTGAATACCTCTTAATCACAGGCAGTTAACTGTGATGACCCCCCACCCCATACCCCTCCTCTTGCCACCACTACCACCACACGACCACCACTACCGTCCCTCGTTCCACCATATTTCTTTGAAAAGTGTATAACCTAAAAATGTGTCGCCACAAATGATGGGATAAAAGAGACATTTTGGAGACAATAATTTTATTCACGACGTGTATACACGTCGTCTATCATAGTTCAAGATGAATTTACAATCATCGAATAACAAATATGTTGTCAGCATTATAGATCTTTAGATACTGGAAATTTTCAATAGATGGCGGTGTATTACAATTTAATTATTTCGATAAAACTAACCTTACTTTTGAAATTTTTTCGTATATTATTATTTTATGTGTTGTTATAATTTACTAAATAGTTTAGAATTATATTATCGATTAGTTTATTAAATATTAAATAGATATATAGTTAAACAGTCCCTGTAAATGTTGTCTATGAGTTCTAACGACTAAATAAAAATAAATCTTGGTATTTGTAAAAGAAGGTACTGAAAGTACTGTGAAACCTCAACCCCTCAACCCTCAAACCCCAACCAACCCCTTCTAGTCGTAGTAGCAGTAGCAATACACCAAACCATGCAACCCAACCGATTTTATATGAACCGCTCAATTTCTCTTTTCTACCGAACTACGAAGAAGAACGGCCGGCACGAGCGTAAGAGGAATGAGTGAAAGAGAGTGTACGTAGTAAACCTCGTCGCAAAAGAAGGGTAGTAGCAGTAGTAGTAGGGTAGTAGTAGTAGTCGAGGGTTGTAAAAGATAGAAAGAGAGAAAAGAAAGAAAGTAAACGAGAAAACCTACACCCACCTACGTTAGGTAGGTATGAGGCCAGAATAAAGTGGGATTCAGCGCAACGTGAATTATAAACGATATTATGCAAACACCCCAAGAGAAGAGAAGGAATACTCACCCCCCCTTCTGTTCCTCCTCTTCTCGTCGTGCCGTGAGTTAATTTAATGAAAAACATCAGAGACCAAACCTGGCTTGAAAGATAGAACTGATAGAGAAAGAGAGAAAGAAGAAGATAAAAAGAAAAAATAAAAAGAAAAAATAAAAAGAAAGAAAAGTGGGAGAAAGAGATGAGATGACGATGATGATAGGAAAAAAAAAGAAACGAGAGAAAGATGAAGAGAACGAACGGTAAAAGACGCATCATCTCCACCCAAAAAAGAGAGGCTGAACACTTGAAGTTACCCAAAAAACACTCTTCTCTTCTTCCTCTTCTTCTCATCTAGTTAGTCTACTCTCTTATCTCTCTCTTTCTCTTTTTCTTTTACAATGGAGTGTATGTTTTTACGAGTACTTTTTCTTTTTCTTCTTTAACCTCTTTCACCAACGATCGTACACACTACCCTATGTATAAACTTCTGTCGTTTTAAAGAACAATAATTACCCTTAACACTCGACCATTGTTATTTCACATTCCCGTTAACAATGGGATCCTAAAATTCTTCAAACAAACTCTTAAAAATAAATACTTCGATCATTATTAAGAAAAATTGTCAGCACAATAGATGGAAGAGGTTTGGTTTACTGTATTTACTATATTAACACACGACCATTCATATTATTTCACATTCCCGTTGACAATAGGATCCTAAAATTCTTCAAAGAAATTAATAAAAATAAATACTTCGATCATTATTAAGACAAATTGTCAACCCAATAGATAGAACTTCCCTTATTGGAATCTGATTGAATTAAAAAACAAAATTAGGATTTCTTTTGTAATTTTTCTAAAGTTTAAGAAAAAGAAAGAGAAGGATCATGAAATCGAAGAAAAACCTAGTCGAAAGATCGAGAAAGGTTCAGAACAGAGAGAGAAGTCCCCTCCTACAGGTAGACACAGAAAAAAACACGGAGTTAGAGATTGAAAGAGAAAGAAGGAATGTGATGAAAGGAAATGAGTCGTCGGCGCACGTGCAACACACTTGGTGGTGTGTACCATGACCGTGGCAGCAGACAGGAGAACATCCAATCTGCACAACTCAGGGGCGGATCTTCATAGATAGAGGGTTGGGGCGCGGCGTGCGATGACTGGTGGTTCCCTACGAACCAACGCGCAGGATGAAACTTTCTGGGGGAACACGAGGGGGTTGGAGGGTGAACGGGGATGATACAGAAAAAGCTAGCGCAAATCGGACACATTTATATATCCACCTATATACACACACATATACACACACCCAAACTAGGCATATGCACGCAAACACACTGTTAACCGGTACTACGACAATAATAACGAGGTGGAGACAGCGAGGACAAGATGGAAAGGGTAAAAGCTGATAGGTTCGATGGAGGTGGAAACGACAATCCTGCTATCCAACTCTGGCGTTCAAATCACGGAGAACCGTGATCCCCGTCGCTACACCTATCTCTCTACTGGTGGTGTTCTTCTCTTATCATTTTCATCTTATCAATCGCGGGATAACGGGGTTTCATTAATTCTTCTTTTAATCACCTGTCAAGTGTTCCTTTTTTCTTTTTGTTTAATTCCAAATAGGGGTTAATAGATAGAAGTGAGTTTCTTCGAAGATTCGCGAAATTATGGATTGTTCGTTTAATAAAATGATTATTTAATTGTTAATCCTTGAAAAATAAATATTATCAGAATGTACAGTTTGTACAGAGCTTGGTTCGGTGACGATAACGCTGCGGATAATTATAATCGTTTGCAAGAAACATTATCACCACCCGATACAGTGATCAGAGTTGGTAACGAGGGAGAACATCAGTTCATTGCACACAAGGGTATTTTAGCTGCACACAGTGGCTATTTGAAGGCTTTGCTAGCTAGTGCAGCAGCTAACAACAGTTCGAATAATGGGCCAAACTTTGCCAGCACTTGTGGCGGATTGAATTCGGGGAGTTCTACTAGCTCGACAAGTTCCGGTATTATAGGTGGACAACAACATACGCGACAACAACCGGTTACTTCTGTTTCAGTATCATCTATCGGTAATTTCTAAACGAAACGTTAAATGAAGAAGTGTTTAATTGATGATGATAAGGAAACAACACGTTTTGATTGTTTCAGGTGGAGAAGCATTTGCTCCATTGCTAAATTACATGTACACAGGTAGATTGGAAGTAACATTAGACAATGTTTACAGTGTACTATTGGCAACTCATTTGTTGCATATGCCAGGTGCATTGGAACAATGCAGAGCTGCTTTACTCAGATTAAGAGCACCCCCTCCTTTACCAACACCTATACCAATACCACCAGTTTCTACATCAACGTCAACATCCAATTCAGGTCCTGGAAGTATACTCAGACCAATACCAAATAGATTGGTATTGGGACCACCTTTGTGTTGGCCTCAAACGAGCTCAATTTATCCTTCAACTGCGACAGCACCAACGTCCGTCGGTCTACCACCGCATTTACCTCAAATGCAACCAACTACTGTCCTAATACCACCATCCGTTTCACCTAACTTATCGGTCATTCCTACATTAAGTACTCAAGAAACTCAAGAACCATCATCTTCTAGCACCCATTACAGGTTAGCCATCAATTTTTCTTATATTTTCAACTAGGTTTTCTGATTATATAAAATTACTTTTGTTTTTATTAGCTCAACCAATAGAGAAATTTCGAGATCACCGAGATCCTCGCCAACGCGACAATTAAACAAACGAACGATCAACGTGAAATCCCGATCCCATTCGAGATCGACAACACCGGAAACCATTTCACCACAAGTTTCATCTCATCCATATGCAAACGCGACAGCAGCAGCAGCAGCAGCAGCGGCGGCTGCAGCTGCAGCTGCAGCAGCGTTCAATGCATTCGCATCGAGATCTTCATCCCCATCAGCAGTGTCACCGCGTTCCTCGTCATTATCGCGATCACCTTCACCATCGTCATCATCCAGACGTGGGAAAAAAATGAATAATCCGATAGATCGAAGAGATGTTGTTCATTTCAAATCAGAATCATCATCTCATATAATTGACACAACTTGTTCAACTATGACAACAACTACTACCACCATTAGTACAACCACAACGACGACGACAACAACAGCAGAAGAAACAACGACAGGTACGACAACGAATAATCAACGTAGACGATCAAATGATAATTCAAATTCAATCGGAAACTCACCCTCAAGAATCAACAACACCGATATACCTAAAAGTTTGACCATCAATGAAATGGATCGTGAACGTAGACCATCCCATAGACGAAAAAATCGAATACCCAATAATAATAACAACAACAATAATAATCAAAACAACAATAATACCAATACGAACAATATAAATGATCCCTCATCATCCAATAACAACAGCAGCAGTGTTTTATCCGTGGTTTATGACGTTGCTTGTTGCGATGGTCCAGTTAAATTTCATCGTGTGTTAAATGAAAATTATACTTTATCTCAAGCACGTTTGCAAAGGCATTGTATTGAAGAAACAACTAGACCACCATGCGAAAATGATGAAAATGGTGGTGGTGGTGGTAGAACTTCCATGTTAACACCAAATACCACAAGAATACGAAATTGTCAGATAGATCCTATGATAAATTCACAAACAAATGATTCTACTACAACAACTAGCAACAATGTTGGCAATTATAGTTGCGGTTATTGCAGGCATACATTCAAATCGCAATATTGTTATAGAAAACACGCTAAAAGACATTTGTTACCAACCAGATCATCAAGCAATAATGAAACAACAACAATAGCAACTACTACAACAACAGCAACAACAACCGGTGGTAATGGTGGTGGTGGTGGTGAAAGAAATCGTCAAGATGGTACCAGAAACAGAAGAGAAGTTAGATTATTGGATTTGAACGTTCAATATTATCCCTGCAAAATATGTGGATGCAAATTTCCAAGTTATTATTTTGTACACAAGCATAGAAAATTGTGTCACGCTAATATCGATGATAATCCTAGGGTTAACAACAGGGACGACGTTGTTAATTATAATGATCAAGAATCAATAACTCAACCTAATGTTGTTGATGATACACCAACACCCACCACCACAACCAATCACGAATGAACAGAGTGAACTATGTTTTTTTTTTCTGTGAATGTGTGTGAAAACAGGTGTTTCAAACGAATTTTAAATGAATTAATAATATTAATAATAATAATAATAATAATTAATTAATTAATTAATTAATACGCATTATTATTCATGTCAATAAATTAAACATCTCATAAATGAATTTTAAATCTTATAAAAAAAAAGAAACAAAAATCGTATCACAAATTAATCAAAATCTGTGCCACCTGTATATGTGAGTAAAAGAAGAATGTGTGTGTTAAAATATATATATATAGTTCGTTAGTTTGTTTCAATGATAATCAATTGATTTTCTGTATAATAATTAATAACATATCATTGTTTCCCCCCACCCCTCTCTCATAGATAGAAATTTGAATTAAATGGGAAACAAAAGAAAAAAAAAGTGAATTTCTTGAAAATGTTGATTCAATAATGGGGTAGGAGGTGGTTCTAACCGTTATTACGTTACAATTACTCAATTTATAATTATTTAACAATATTATAATAAGATAAATTAAAAAAAACATCACAAGATTAATGTGGTATCATAGATAAATAATAATTACAAATGATTGTAATGCAATTAATCATTTAACTATTAATTTGACTTGTATAAATAATTTAGATGTAAAATACTTAACAAACAAGTCCAATTATACAACAGTTAATTTATTAATTTAATTAATGTGATGAAATTGATAGATACTTGTATTAATAAATTATTATTTATATTATATTATAATATTATATTAAATATATAAATAAAATATTTACCAATAATGCGAGAGATCTTACAAGAATGAAAAATTTCATTGAATTTTATTGAGTAACATAAAAAATATATTGAACGCAATTATATAAAATATGTGGTAAGATTAAAAAAAAAAAAATAAAACACACACTGTATAAATCGTTTAAAAAAAAGAACAATGTAACAATTTAACTGTTCTGAATATTTGAACACATTTAAAATTAAATATAACACATATAATATAATATAATAGAACACAATATAATATAGAATAATATAATATAAAAATAAAATAAAACAAAAGTTTCATTTAGTCATAATAAAAAAAAAAAAATGAAGAACGACAAGAAAAAATATTATTTAGAAAAAAAAAGAAAAAAAAAAAGTAAAACAACTATTCTCGTGGTCTTGGGGAAATATTTTCATTTAAGTTTTAATTAGCATCACAAGGACCTAATAATCCTGACCAATCTTCCTAGTAGACCTCATGTAACTTTTGTAACCAAAAGAAAAAAAAGAAAAAAAAGAAAGAAAAAAGCACCAAACATATTTATGCGAATGCACGATATAAAAAAAAAAGAAAAAGAAAAATAATTGAATGTACTCACCAATGATATCCGTGGATTGTGCTTCTTCATCACTGGTTTCCATTGGATTGGCATGATTTTCTTTTTTCTTATCCTTAATCCTACTAGTAGCTGCCGTATTAATACCACTACTATTATTACCACCGGTTGTTTCCCTACAACTAGTCTTCTTTTTACCCGTATCCTTAAACTCGGACTGCATGGCAGGTACATTGGTGGTGTTGACGTTTAACGAACACGCTGCTGCTGATCCTGACAACGTATTTTTACCTTCCATTCTAAACAAACCAAACAAACAATTCAATATCATTATTATTATTATTGCATAAACTTATATAATTATTCCTCCAATAGAATCTAATATATAACAATTTTCCTATGCAAGGTAATTTGAAAAACATTCTAAACTAACCAACACAAAATTAAATATTATTATTATTATTATTATTATTATTATTATTATTGCATAAACTTGTATGATTATTCTTACCCCTATCCCTTCCCCAAATAGAATCTAACCTATAAATATTTTATTTTGCAAAGTAATTTGAAAAACATTACACCGAATCACAAAATTGTTTGATTTAACAATCCCACCTCCCAACCCTCCACCAATACCCATACTGTTTGTTTTTTAATATCAAATATTGAACAAAGTTCCTATATGGAATTGTTTAAAATTTTCTAACAAGAAAAAAAAAGAAAATAAATAGAAAATATATTCCTATAAAAATAGATATGAAATCTCAGTTACACAACCTTGAAAACTATTTGTTATATGTCAAATTAATAACAATTATTCTTCTCAATATATATATATATTGTCTTTCAATCATTGATAACAGCAAAAGGGTATTATGAAATTTCTAATATGATCAATTCAATTATGAGGATGGATGGATGGATGGATGGTAGAGTTGAGTAAATATAATCCACTAAACCAGTAACCATTGATTAGCATTACAATCTGCTAATAACTGGTTCTTCTTCTTCCCTCTACACCCATTCCTCCTTTCCCTTCTCACCCTTAAATCTATCATCATCCTATTCCCACTGTTCCTCTTCATCTGAACTACCCCTCTTCTTCCTCATCCTACATTTCATGAAACCCCACTTAAGTATCCCTAGTACCTCCTCCTCCTAGTACCCTTTTTACCTCTACATACCCCTCCCCTTCCTCAATCTCCTATCGATTAAACTTCCATAATGTAAATTCGTTTCTTTGACTGAATATTATTACGTAAATTCTCCCCCACCCCCACTACTTCCCTTATCCACGAGTTAAATTTTTTTGTGATATAATATTTAATGCAATAGTTGAAAGATCGTAGTTGAATTAAAACAAGCTTTTACATATATGTGTATGTGTATGTGTGTGTGTATAATTTAACATTAAATATGCACCACCCAGAAAGAGAGAAAGAGAAAGAGAGAAAGAGAAAGAGATAAAAAGTGAAAAGATTTTTTTTTTTTAGGTTATAATCATATGAAATCAGAAAGAGACGACCATATCGAGAATTCTGAGTGATTTCTCAAATGAGGAGGATAGAGGTAGAAAGAGAGACGGTGGTTCTGAGAGAGGATCAGGAAGAAGACGAGAGTATGAGAGCAGTGAGAGGGGGATGAAGTGAGTTGTTCCGGTGAATATCGCGGGCTTTGTTTGCACATTGAATATCTTTCACCCAATGGAAACGACTCATTCAATCAGGCCATCCCCAGCTTTTATAGAAATCAGAATCAATTGGAGAAATATATATATATATATATATATATATATATATATATACGAATATATATATACGAATTGAAAAATAAATCTTATTCCAACAATCATCCTACTTTTCTTTCCAATTTTACTCGAATCATATCCCCCAACCCCCGTCCCATGTTATGAAGAGAGATTCCATAGTTTAAAAAAATAAAATAAAATGAACGAATAACTCAATGAGATTGGGATTGTTCAAACATTCCTATATATATATATATCTTCAATAATTATTTATAATAATTTCAATTAGTCCTACAGGGTTTCCAAACCCTGAATTATTCCCTATAGTAAATGTTAAATATTACTATAAAATATTTAATATTTTAAATTAATTTAAATAAAACTTTTTTAGTAAATAAATAAATTTTTAGTATATAAATAATAATAATAATAATATAATACTACGATCTTTGATATAATAAAAATTGATAGAATAAATAATTGAAACCTAACGCAAACTAGAAACCCCTAGGGAAATTCAGTAATAGAATATTTAACATAATGATCTTTTCAATAATTGGAATTCTTATAAAATAAAAAAAACCCTAATCAATGTCGGATGATTATAAAATACGTACATGACTTTGACGTCCTTATTGGTAGGATTATTATCCGTGATGGATTCTTCTTTAACGTCAACTTTAATAATATGCGAGGAGTCCTTGTTATCCACCCCTTTGTTGTTCTCCTTGTTTTCTTTACCGACTTCTTTATTATCCTTCGTATTAGTCGGTGCTGTCGTCGTAGTAGTTGATGAGAAAATCGACATCAGGATTGAACTAATCGTTGTCGCTGCTATCGTCGCCGTGCTGGTCGTGCTGGTGGTGCTGGTTGTGGCTGCTGTTGTTAACGTTGTCGTTGCTGTCGTAACAGAATCAGTAGAAGACATATTCGTGCTCATAATCAGAGAACCCTGAGCACCTGTCATCGTCGTCGTCGTAGCCGTCGTCGTCGTCGTCGTCGTCGTGGTCGTCGTCGTCGATGCTGCACCAGTAGTCGTAGTAGTTGTCGTCGACGTTGACGACGACAATGATGACGACGACGACGACGACGACGTACTTGTTGACGATGATGATGAGGACGCTGTAGTAGTTGTACCAGTTGATATACTCGACGTTGATGATGTAGTAGTCGTTGTTGTCGCTGTAGATGATGATGTTGTTGTTGTTGCTGCTGCTGTTGTTGTTGTTGTTGTAGCCGCCGTTGATGATGATGATGAAGATGATGATGATGATGTTGCCGCTGCTGATGTTGCTGTATTATTATTCTGAGGATTTTCCTGCGTCTTTTGTTGCTGCTCACGTTGCAGCCTTGTGGTAACTCCCGTTGTCAATATGTCGATAGGTCCAATAGTAGAATTACTATTATTTACCTATAAAATATATTATATTATATTATATTTATTAATATTTTCATTTGTCCAATATACGCGAGTCAAAGTAATGAACACTTTTTGATATACTGTATTCGTACAATACAAAATTAACATGTCGGACGCCATATTATAAAATATTACATATATATCTACAAGAATTTTATCCGTTCAATTCCAATATAAAATAAATGTATTTTATATATATTAACCTTATTATTAGGATTGTTACGAGCACTGCGTGCCCGTTGTCGAGATCTTCGTAGCAATCGTTTATAATTTTCAGCTTTCTTAGTGAGGTAGTAATGATGTACACAATCTGGAACAGACTTGTGTTCTAAAGATTGTGCTATCGCACCGAAATTCTTCGGATGTTGCAAATATTTCTCTTTGAACAATTCATGTTCCACAGAACTCCATACGTTTATTAATTTTCTTTCACTATGTAAAGCTTCAAGTTCCTCTAATTGAAGTAAACCATTACGATTTTGAAATGCAATCCTTCGTTGCTTGGTATCCAAAAGTAGAGGTGGTATGACAGCGTACGAACGCATTTTTTTGTCTTCCATCTGTAATATTTAAATAAACATTATTATTTATTCATTTATAATTTAATTAAAATTAAAAATTACAAAAAAAAAAGATCGATAAATTATGAATTTCAATATAGTATATTAGTATCCTAACAGATGGCGAAATTGTCGAACCTCGTCGGTAAATTACCGACAATGTAGTACCAATATCAAATGTTATTTGTTTTTAATTTTTTTTTTATAATTACAGTAATAATGTGTATAGTATAAAATAATAATATACCTCTTGCTCTTGAAGACCATCCATAATTTCTTCAAGATCAGCTTCGCTTTTAACACGAGCACCAACCCTGTTGAAACGTTCTTTGTCTTCCCTTTGTTTTCTTAATTCGGGGAATACCTTTTCGAAAAATTCACGATTCTTCGCTTCTTTAGATTTTTTTTTCGGATTTGCTTCCAATCGTTCAACCTTCCGATGCCATTCTTGTACGAGAATCGCATAAGATTGAGACTGCTGCCTGTGAAGTGACGCTCTTTCAGCATGTTCCCTTCTTAATCTTATTATTAATCTAGCTCTCATACAAGTTTGATGCCTCGTACGATTTTCTTGATAAACACTGGTATCCGATGGTTGATTATACAATGGCAATTCCACCTTAGGACCCAATCTTTCTAAAAGTCTATGCGCTTCTTCCGCTTTTCTCTACAATTAGAATAATATAGAAATCAATTGATACAAATAAAGAAAATCATACATTTTCATTTCATTATTAATTCATTCTAATATATCAAGATGACCTTAAGTTAATTAAATAATATCGTGTGTAAATATTAAATAAAAATAGTTAACCACTTAAGAACTTAAGATACATCTTGAATATATCATTTCGTAAGAAAGAAAATATTGTTTTACTCTATTTTCAGCATAAATTTTCTGCGCCAATGATTGATGCTTTGGTTGTTGCGACTGTTCTTCTATTTGTCGCTTAAGACCGCTAGCCTCCAATGGTTTATTAGCAGCTTCCTCCAATTCCTTTAACTTTTTCCGAAGTTTAAAAATCTGAGTTTCCCTCTTGGCAATTTCCCGATCAACTTTACCAATCTGTTGAAGAAGATCGTCTTTCGTAGTACGAAACTGTGCATCTTCTTGCGTATTGGTTTCCGGAAGCGTTGGGGATATCGCTTCCGTTTGAGGTGTGTACGCACCTGTGGCAGGCTATTCGTCGTAACAACAACAAAATAAACAATCAGATCAATATATTACCAAAACATATGACGAGATTTTATAAAATATACAAACCCTAGTGTCTATCCTCAATGGTTGTTGCAAGGGTACAACGTGTTCTTGTTTGATGCAAGCATCGGTTGGTGGAAGACTCTGACATCGTGACTGAGATTGTGATTGTATTTGAACCTGAGTTGGTGGACCAAGGCGTATCTTTTTGAACGGCGGAGCATCTTGCAATGTTGTCATCTCAACAGGAGTACGACTACCATACTGATCCGTTTGAACGGGTATAAGGCCTACTCTTGGATTCCTCGCACTTGGCATATGATAATCCGATCCCACAGCCGGTGTTTGTGCTGGGGCAACTGATGCCGATGACAACAAGGACATCCTTGGCCTTTCTCCTCTACCACTTCCCATACCACTATTAATACTACCACCAGCTCCATATTCACCAGCTACTACACCGACGCCCAATCCAACTTGTGACAATGGACTACTGCTAACGCTTATAGCAATCCTCTCGTTCACCTTAAAAAATAATATTTAAATATTTAATACTTATTATTGATTAATGATATTATTTATTATTTTTCTTTTTTTCTTAGGTAAAGAGAGAAACGGAGGTTTATTATTTTGTTTTAGCTGTAACTACGTTATTATTATTATTATTATTATTATTATTATTATTATTATTATTATTATTATTATTATTAGATTTGTAAATGTGGAACCTTGATATAACCTACAAACCAGAATTTGTAAACAAAACTTTTAAGTGATTTAGATCAATCCATTCGAATTACAATTTTGTATTCTTTTGGGAACTAGTAATTAAGAGTAATAAGTAATTCGAATATAATTGAACCAATTTTTGTAATATTGAGTTAATTTATCTATATTTATGGATCGTATATTCTTCTTTTATTTATTGCATTTATAATATCTTTGTCTTTCTCTTTCTATTTCTCTCGAGAGTATCCTATCCTCGTGCATAAACTATTTCAAGAAAATCGATGACCCGGTTTAAAGAGGGCACATTGCTGATTATACATCCGAATGTTATTAGTCGCGTGTCCCTGGAAATCGACGATTATTATAACTTTTTTTAACAAAGGTCATCTTGTTTATCCCATTTGCCATTTTCTAATTTTAAATAATATCAACAGATACGTCAATTAATATAATTCTGGACAATAACAACAAGAATAATATAGCAATCTTAATCAAGAGAATAGAAATCGTTTTTGTATTAAATGCTTAGTGAAAAATATAGAATAAAATTGATTTGTATAAGGTTATGTTATCAAGAAATAAGTTTGAAAGTTTATCGAGTAAACTAACGTTTTCATTCAGTTTCTATTTGATGTACTTTCCCTGTCTTACTGTTTAATATTTCTTGGAACAATTTGGGTTTATTAATATGTTTATAAACATTGTGTTTTGATATACAATATACTTCTTATATAGGTTATATTCTTACTTTTACCATATAAAGTTTTTAGTTTGTCAAAGTTGCACTCGATATGAGTCTACACATATTCAATTAACTTTTTATATTTATATATATATATATATATTTTATTCCCAATAACAAAATAATATACTAATTTAATTCTATATTTTCGACTTAATTTATTGCTAATTACAGGACACCTTGTACATATATATATACATGTATACAACTAATGTACACACGGTACGATTAGATCAATGCAACTTTCACTCGCCTACATCAACTCTTGTTCCATCATATATTTTTTGAGATATTTTATTTTTAACATTGATAAAACCTTAATCAAGTATGTAATAACTATAAATAAGTCTTATGATGATTCATATACTATTTGATCGATATGAAAAATATGTTATCGACAATTAATGCAAAATTATACACCATTGAGAGTTTTGTACAAATAAAATAATTTAACAAACTTTTATATACAACGTAGAATATTTAAACAAATGTAAATAATACATAGATATATTCTTCGATAACTTGCACCAATTAAATTTGTATAACAATATTTATACGATTACCAATGATCAAATAGTTCGACATCTTTTCTCTTACAATTAGAGTTTTTAAAAGTACTTTCATTTGGAGAATAATAAAATGGTTGCATGAAAGAACTGATTACTGGATTGTCAATGAGAAAGAGGAAAAGAAAAAATAGAAAGAGAGGAGACTGATACATGGTGAAAGTCAAGGACAGGACCATGTACACTTAGGCTTACATTCAAGTATATATCTTATATTTTATTTTTCCTTGTGAGTGCATACGTGGAATGTTTCATATTGCAGTTACTGCAATCAACCATAAATGCACAATTACCATGAACCCAATGAAGTTATCGTAACAAATTTTCTGTTCCTTCTTTTCAAGGAAATGGTATTATCATCTTAAGTAGACAATATGATAACAAATAATGCAATTATTAAATTGAATAATATAATTGATTAGTATAAATACCTGAATTAATAGACAATTACAATCCGTCTTGAATACTTTGATTGAAATTTTTATGGGGTGAACATTGGATGACGGAATAGAAAAACTATATTCTTGATATTTTACATCCTTAAGATTAAACGGATTTTTAGGATCACTGATAATAACTTCATTAATTTTGGGTTTTGTTTTATACTTTACACTCCATTTGGTTATTAAAATTGAAGTTTCTCTGGTTTCTAGTACATCTTTTATATTGTGACATGAACGATCAGGAAATTTGCAACGATATAGGTACACTGCATCGAATATATCATTTGAACATTCTTGAAAAGCATTCAACAAATCGATAAATTCTGAATAATTCATTATTCTCACTACACTTTTAACATTTATTTCAAATAAAAAGAAAACTGTTACTAATTCCACAATACTATCTACCACGTGTAAAATATTAGACAAATTGTTTGGTTATACGATGACGCAATATAAGGATATCAAACAAATAACTGTCGTCAGACGAAAATAAATCCTTGGTCATCCGGAAATACGTAATATTTTAAATCATATTATTTATCTTTAACAAAGATCTTCAAGTAATCGAAAATCGATTTTAAAGTTGCGGGAAATCGAGAGGAGTTTAAATAATGGTGTTCAAACATGGCGGATCAAAAAGGCGGGCACTTTTAAAATTCCTTTAGAAAGTTCGCAGTTTGACAGGAAATACGAAAGAGAAAGAGAAAGAGAAAGAGAAAGAGAGAAAGAAAGAAAGATAAAGAATCTCTTTTTTTAAAACCCTAAACAAAAGTTGGGGAGTAAAAGAGAAACATAAAGGGCGGCATATTCTCGTTGGGAAAAAATACCTACGTTTGTTGTAGGGCCACGATAGGCGTCTCTCGGAACATATCCGCTTCCCGTAGGAGGCGGTGGTGTTTGACTGATGCTAGCGGTTGATGCAGTTGCTGGTACAGAATTTGGTGGTATAGAACCAGCAGCAGCAGCAGCCGCGGCTGCAGCAGCAACAGCGGCTGCGGCCGCGACTGCTGATGCCGAGTTTGAAACCGCAACTACGGCTGCCGCTGAAGTTGCTGAACCCGATGATACTACCGACGGACCAGAGGATACCGACGATGAAGTTTGTGGATAAGAATGGATGTATCGTATACCACCTGGCATCGGTACAGTAACGTAACCGGATGGTGGACCAGTACCACCGGCGCCGCCAGTACCGCTACCACCTCCTCCACCACCACTTCCAACACCACCATTTGGATTCCCACTGGACCCTGATACACCACTAACACCACTGACATTTCCACTGGTGTTATTACTGTTACTACTACTACTGCCACTTCCTCCTCCTCCTCCAACAACTGAACAGTTGSCGCCATTCCCGCTGTTTCCACTTCCTCCGCCAGGCTGCGTTACCACGCTCACTCCCCCTCCTCCTCCACCCACTACAGCGTTGACGGTGCTGCCACCACCGCCAACTACGCTAATGCTTCCCCCACCACCATTACCACTATTGCCACCGCCGGCGCCGCTGCTATTGCTGCTATTCGATGGACCTGATGCACCCGAGCTCGTGGCACCGCTTCCTCCCGTTGCAGCAGCCGCTGACGATGCCGCTGCTGCACCTCCTTGGATATACGACGTTCCTGCACCGGCAGTTCTTGGTGATACCGGACTACTGCTGCTTTTGATGTTCACGTAATTCTGCGTCGGCCTACGAGTGAAGATTTTTTGTTAGAATGATATCTTTTTTCTTTTTTTTTATTAAATTTCTCAACTATGATTAATGTTTTTAGCAAGATGTATTGTTAGGTTAGGTAATCTATGAGATCATCTAACGTGTTGTTTAAAATAGTAGTTTTAAATGAATTATTGTTAGACGTTAGTTAGCATATAGCATTTAATTTTATAAATACACTATTTCTAAATAATGACTATTAAATATAGATATTAGGAACGATTTCCCTATGTTACACAACGCACGTTATTTTCTCTTACCACAAATATAACGATTACTTTACTATAATAGTTAACTCACAATCAAAATAACTAAACTTGTTCATTTATAATCCAACGAATTAGATACCTTTCCAAACCTCTTTACTAATATCTATATACATCCAATCAATTAACATTTTCACTGATGACTTTCTAAACATAAGAGAAACTATTCTGATTTTTTCTGTCTTGTAATTATACTTCATGTAAGTATACTTCACAAATTCCTTTTTTATCCTATACACGGAGTTAGAGAATAAGGAGAACGATCACAGTGTATACAAGTATCCCCAAAATACAGAACAAATAATTAAAGGTTTTCTGTGACGTCACTAGGATCGAGGTGATCACTATGCCGCCCTAGTGACAGAAATAAGTATTTATATTTTGTTACTTTTTTAAGGGATACATATCAAAAATAAAAATAATTGGAAAAAATTATTATCTTAATCGGGAATAACTGTAAACTAAAATTGAACAACTAGATAAGATATACATATGCATATTTGTTTATATTTAAATAAAGGATGAATCAAAACAATGATTATATTTATTTCTTGTATGTACACAAGAAAAAATGAAGTTCAAATTGTGTGATAAAATAGAGGAAATAAATATAACCAATGAGAATATTCAAAAAATGACGATTCGTAATAAAGTGTTGCTATTGGTTCTCACTCGTGGTATTGCGAATGATGATGGACGCCGTATATGCAGCACGTGGCGAGGCGGAGATTATCGTTCTGCGCATGCTCCGTACGAATGCGACGTGCGTATACTCGTACTACGCAACTTTTTTACTGCGCATGCGCTTAAAAGAAAAGGGGGAGAATCACACGCACACACAGCTTTTGAATAAAATACAACACTACCACTATATTCTTGTCGTCAGATGATAAGGTGAATGCGCTTTTCTGTTCAAAACAGCTGCGTCGTCTTCTCCTTCTCTCCAGAGAAATATTACTTTAATGAGAATATATTTATACGTGTTTATATAAACATTACTAAGGCGGCCATTTTCTATTAAAAACCTATCTACATATAATTATACATTTAAATAAATTTATATGTATAAATGAATCTATTTTCTCTATGACTCATGTAACTTATTTGCAGAGATTACTATATATATATATATATATATATATATATATATATATATATATATAAGTTTGTGTTAGAAAGAAAGAGAAAGATATATATATCTAAGAAGTTTTCAAAGCGACGTCCGGTTATATATGAGATAAATTCGGACACGACAGATGCAACGCATAACATTCTTCGTATTACTGACCCATCAACGCGATTTACTGGAAGTGAGTCATCCTTTGACCTTGAGAATTCGACTAATAAAAAAGTGACGATATCAAAAAAACAAGATAGGCGAAGAATATTGTGAGAAATACTTTTCATTTAAAAAAAAAAAAAAAGATTAATATATTTTATATACAAAAATATCTAACTTGTGTGATAAGATTATACTTATGGCAGCCAATTTCTAAAATATTCCAGATTATTAAAAAAAGAAAAACGAAAAGCACAAACATTTTTTAAAGAAACAATTTATATAAATTATAAAATGTACAATTTGTATGCATATCCATGTTTATGATACTAATATACTACTACCATAGTAAGTATATACACTAATATATAATACTATATGTAATATACTACTACCATAGTCAGTATATATACTAATATACTACGACTACTATAGTAAGTATATATACTGACATTTATAAAAATTTCCATAGATATATTTAAAATTCTACGAATATTATTTCAGGTATATATACATGTGTATGTTTTATATACATATATATATATATATATATATATATATATATATANGTATGTTTTATATATATATATATATATATATATATATATATATATATATAATATTGAAATTCCAACACATTATCAAAATTAGCGGTCGGTCAACGTATGGTCTTCTCTAGTCCATGGTTACTTGATGACGTAACGGTCAGTGACCCCCTCCCACCTCTAACACAACCCCCACTACTACTCTTTGATATACGTTCCTCTACTATGTTTATTCTTTCTTTTTCTAATGAGCCTCAAAGAGAGAGAGAGAGAGAGAAGACAATCGACCCCTATGGTGATCAGTCATATCCCTAGAAAAGACAGGGACAAGAAAAAGATGTGAAAAAAAACATTCCAGCAATTTATCCCTAGGCACTTAACACTCAACAGTCTTTTCAAATTACAAAATTAAAAAATCACCATGAACAACACAATATACATATATATATTTTACAAATACAATATACCATATTGAAATCATGTAAATGAAAAATTGATGGAGCCCTTATAGGGAATTTATTTAATAAACAAAAAAATATGCACAAGTACAGAATAATAATTCTGTAAGCAAAAAAATACAATTATTAAATCTATTTGACAGAATGATGATGACGAGCAGGAAAGAAAGTTTTCTATTGAGTATACTTGAGGGGTTGTGGTGGTGGTCGTCTTATGGGAGAATTTTATGGGTAACGATGAGTTAGTTCTTCCTTAGTTTGAGGACGAACTGGCTTTGGTTGATCGATACTGAGAAGAAAGCGAAACGTGGACATGAAAATAGGAAAACTCAAACACAGCTGTACGGTGCTATATACACACATATACATATATATATATATATATATATATGTGTTCACCAAGAAGCAGGACGCGCTGAACGAACGTGGAAGAAAGAAAAAGAGAGATACATAGAGGAAAATAGGGTGGTGAAGAGGGGAAAGGGAGAAAGGGAGTGAGAAGCAGGAAGGGAAGGAGAGGTGAGGAGAGGGGTAAATAAGGGGGAGAAGCGTTAGGATCGATAGACCTCTCCTCTATGTAACAACGTTGCATACAAGCATAGAAACGCAGCAGCAGCAGGCTATGCAGCTTACATAAAACGGGACACCTCTCTGTGAGAATGAGGAGGAAAAACGTGCTTGTAAATGAAACACGTTTCGTCCTACCTTCGAAAAAATACTTTTGGGAAAACTTTTTTTTCATTAATATATACATATATATAATAGGATGCTCTCCTGCCACGGATTTTGCTGTGGCTTTGTTATAAAATGTTGATTTAATATCATTCTATAAACTATTTAGTAAATTATAACAACACATAAAATAATAATACACGAAAAAATAGAAAAAGTAAGGTTATGTCATATGTAAATTGAAATAATTGAATTGTAATACAGTGCCATCTGATTAAAAACTTAGTATCTAAGGACCTAGATAACCTTTAAATATAATAAATGTTGATTTAATATAATTTTAAACTATTTAGTAAATTATAACAACACACAAAATAATGGAATACATAAAATAATAATATATGAAAAAATATATAAACTAAGGTTAATTTATGTCGTATGCAAACCTAAAAAAAACGTATAACGTGAATATATCAAAATAATTGTATTTTGATACAGCGCCATCTATTGAAAATTTACAGAATCTAGAGACTTAGATAACCTCTAAATAATAGTAAGAAAAAAAAAATCAAAATAATCACGATAGAAACTATCCTATGTGTTAAATTGAATAAAATCACACAAAATAATAAAAAAAACGTCATTAAGATCGGTTCAGTAATTGCAAAATGAATTTAATTTTTATGTTTTATTTCGTTCAATCTATTTAATGAGAAACATATAGCATATATATATATATATATATATATTATTTTATGTTTCTATCTTTTCTAAGTATAATAAAATAAAACACAGTTAAATAAAAGGATCTTTTGCATAGTTCGTCGACTTGGAAATGTTTCGAATCGATCTTATCGTTAAAACCTGACTTGCAACGATCGATAAACGTTTTTACGGTTGACTACTTTCAACCTTATACCAACAGTGTGTGTACTTGGAAATATCCTAGAATAAAATTTATGAAATAAGATAAGATGAAGATGAAGATAAAGAATAAACGTTAAAAAAATGGGGGAATTGAATTAAATTGGCATTTGGGGTCAACGCCGACATTTCTATATGTATTTATAAATTTAGGTTTGAAATTAATTTGTCACTGAGTAAAAGTGAGAGAAATAGAAAGAAAGAAAAAGACAAAAATAAAGATGACCGAAATGGAAAATAGTTCAAACATTTTAATATTAAATAGACAATATCTGATATTTCACGTATTATTTGGGTATAAAAGGGTCATATCCTAAATATAACCAATTGAATTCTACGAAATAACCTAACCTATAACCTTCGACAACAAAATTTACAATTAAAAGTTACATTTCTTTTTGAACTTTTCATGATACGTCACTGTGACATACGTTCCTGAAGTAATGGGTTTAAAAATCTTTTCTAACACCATTTTCTATTAATAGGAAAAGAGAATAAAGAAGGAAGATAAATAAAATACAGATGAAAGTACTCGACCAATAGAAAGACGTATAACATATATACCAATAGAATTCAGCAAGGAGTGTTGAACTAATCTGACCAATCGGAAAGAAGAAAACTACGAAGTTAGATTTTAAAACGTGTTTTCAAGTTAATTCTCGTAAATTAGAGAGAAATGGAATCTCAAATGTGTGTGTGTGTGTGGCTTTAAAGTGATTAGAAAGTTAACTTCTTTTATATTAGAAAGAGAGAGTTAGGGGATAAAACTTTGGGATAAAAGAAAATATATTCAACCCTTTTATAACCTTGTTATTTATTTCAGAATATCTATAAAAACAGAAGAAATAAAACATAGTAGGTATTATGCAATATTAAACATATGATCTATACAAAAATCCAGAAAAAAAATTATTATTATAAAAAAAGAAACAATTAGGTTGAGAAACCCTGTGAAGAAGAAAAAGTTTGAAGGCGTAGAAAGAGAGAGACTAAAGAAACGAAGTCTTAAGACCTTTGCACATGCTTCACCTGGTTCGCGGACTTGTTTGTGCGAACTAAAGTCGATAAGGTTGCTGCTGCTGTTGCTGCTGTTACTATTGCTGTTACTCTCCGCGCACGCTCTGCTTTGTATCAAGAAGTTTTCAACGTATATAAACGCGTGAGAGAGTATGAATGTAAGCCGGAAGTTCCAGGGACACACAAACGACCACGCATTTTCGTCTTGCTTTCAAACTTACTTTGCTTGCTTGCTTGCATGCCTTTCCGTTTATATATATGTGTTCAATTCACAAATACATACATAGAACACAGTAGTATATAATCTACCAATAGCAGCACACCACCAACAGAAGCAGCAACAGTACATGTGTAACCTTTTCCCTGCATTAGTTAGTTTTCAAGACCCCTTTCGCCATCACATCCATCGCACTTCCGCAAATTTCTTCATAGAACTCTATTTTATTGAGGCCTTTATTTATTTCGATTCATCCCACACGTTTTAAAACAAGATTTATTAAATAATCTTATTTTTAAATCAATATTATCGTTATTTGATTTATTTTCAATACGTATAATTTGAAAAAGACCAATAAAAAAACGTCTAACTTATCCCCACCAATCAAATTTAAGAAATATTATTGAATTTAATCAATCCGAAAAGAATATCGATTTCAAATGAAGTTAATGAGTAAAATAGCTCATTGGTTTATTTTTTTATTACAATCTAGTAACTTTTGATCAATCCAATAATCAATCCAAATAACAGCCAATTGGTTAATTTTTTTATTATCATCTACTAACTTTTGATTAAACCAATAAACGTACACGATCTTTATTTCTAATAATCTGCTTAAACAAATTATAAAAAAAAAAATAAATGTGAATTAAGATTATATTACTTCTTGACCTAAGATACTTAACAGATCGGAATGCATTTACCAGGAAAAGAACAAAAGTGGAGGATGAAGTAATCACTATCAAAGTACTCCTCCTTGTGCATGTGACCAATTATACCATACCCCCGCCTCGCTCCCGCCCCTTCCCTCACACTCTTTTTCCTATTCCTCCTCCTCCTCCTCCTCCTCCTCCTCCTCCTNTCCTCCTCCTCCTCCTCCTCCTATTCTCTTCCCACTCCTAGCATGTGTTTACTCGCCTACTTTTAAACAAGCACGTATACGCTTATATAGTCAAGTCGATAAGTAAAGAGATAATATCACACACAAATTGTTTATGATCATTTTTTTCAATTATCATGTTTTTTGTTTTTAACCTTTTTTTAACTCTTCCGCCATATTACCATTTTTGTTCGCCATTTTTACCGCCATTACAAATAAAAAAAGATGGCGGAGGAAAATGAAGAACAAGGAATAACAATAAATTATAAAAAAAAAGAAGGAAAATAATGAAAATCAATTTTGAATAAATATATTCCTGAAAATGATTTTCTTTAGAATCCAGCGTTGAAATGGTTTTCAATAAGATCGCACCATTAACCTCCCTGTCTTGTTACGGTCAGAATGGCCGACGTTTTTTCGATTACCGGCCATCTTTCTTTTTAAACTATCACTGGATATTTTCTTTCTCTCTTTCTTTCTTTTTAACTTTTACACACACGCCACCACACACACAAACATACACAAACAAACATACACACACGAATAACTCTTATAGACACTTTCTATCTTTCTTTTATTTTTTTTATTTTCTTGTCTAGATTATCAAAATAGATGAGAGACACACACCTATACAGACGCGGTGGTGTTTCATAAAACTTGGATGCATTTCAATTCAATTCAATTGAGTTCGATTCAATTTCAATATCTGTACATCATCCAAACTTAACAACACAACAACTTTAAATTGAATTACATTTTTTCAAGTAAATATAACCTAAAAATTTTATTTTTCATCAATTTTGTTGATATCGAATTCAATTAAAGATTATGTAGAATTATAAATGAATGAATCTATATATATATAAAATAATATTTTCGCGAATTCCAGGAAACCCACAAGCCTACTACTATAAATTAATAGAAAGAGAAAAAGAGATAGAGATATTTTTAAAAATATATGCCCAGTTCTGTTTCACGGATCAACGCCCGTATTTATAACCCTACCGAGAAATGGCTCTAATATACATTTATATATATATATATACACGCGCGCGTATTGTTGCATCGTTTTTAAATAATGGTACCAATGGTATTGCGACGGAAATATTCACGGAACTAGTTTTAATTAATTACAATTTCTAATTATATTACCATATTCTACCACAACATGACCTAACCAGTGTGCCATGTTAAAAATAAAACAAAAGAAATTTAATTACGAATCAATACAAGATTTTCTCTTATCATTTATACGAATATAAAAAAAAATAATTATCATGAGAAAATTCATGAACAAAATACCTTACATAATAATTATAATTAATTCTTTATATCGATCATGTGTACTTATAACCAATACTACGTTTATAAAAACACAAACAAAAATTGCATGTAAAATGATGTTCATTCATACATGAAAATCCCTCATTACCAGTCAGAAAAGTATTTTAAATTATTGATAAGAAAGACACACACACACACCATACAACGCATTCATTCTATTTTCAATTGATATCGATTTTTCTCTTTATCTTTTTTTCTTTAAATAAATTTTGATATGTATAAATTTAATATATATATATATATATATTGAGGAACGAAGATAGTAAAATGGACAGGAGAAGAGAAAGAGAAGGAACGATCGAATCGAACCGTTATCATGTCCTCATCCTTCGTCTTCGTCACGCTTCTACCCCCACTCCGCTACCTATCTGTCCCTTTCCCCACTCCTACCCCTCTAATTCTATCGTCAGGGGCCCTCCTCACTCCTCCCACTCCTTCCTCATGCTTTTCCCACGCAACCCAGCCAGACGGTCTGCTGCTTGCTCTCCTCCACAATATTCATGCACGCATACATTCTTGAACGTACACGTACAAACATACTCACATACACTGGCAGTCTCACCAAATAAGCATATATATATATATATATAATATATATGTTATATTAAATATACATGGATAGTGAAAGATGCGCGTCATAATGGAGATAAAGAATCGTTCGTTATTCTTTATTTATTTCTTTCTCTATCTTTTATAGTTTTATTCTTCTTCTTCCTTTCTCTAAAAAGAAAGAAAAAAACACCCCTGTTTCTTTTCTTTATCCCTTTTTTCTTTTCTCTTTGAATATCTCAATCATTTTCCCGCGTCTACGAGTTTCATTAGTTCCGCGCATGCGCAACTTGCATGGAATATAAATGTTATTACTACGTTGGTCGGTAGACGATTGTTTTCTTCTTTTTTTTCTTTTTTTTTTCGAAAATCACGTTCTCACGTTTTTAAGGAAACACGTTTAAAAAGAAAACAATAAAAAATATGTAAGAAAAGGAACGAGTCGTGTTCGTTTGATGGTTTTTAAGAAACTTTAAACAGAAATTTAAATAAGAATATGGAGGATAAAAAAAGTTTCGTGATTTCCGTCGGTTTCTCAATTTGTCGTAATAGATTTCTCCTTCAACTTAGAATCTTCTTTTAATCTTTGATGTTTATTCCATTAAAAAAAAAAAAGAAAAAGACAAAGTATAAAACAAATCATCACATATATATTGCATTTAAATATAATCATCCTACGAAATTAGAAATTTGATATAAAAAGATAAGACCTAAAACGCATCTCAATTTAATTTTTTCAAGTTACTATAAAATCTATGAAAATAGAGTCTTTTTAAAAGGAATCAGAGTAAGAATGAAAATAAAACCGCATGTGACTTACTTCATCGGGTCGAGTCATAACCTCGACTCTTTGAAAGATCCCTTTCCACCTATTTTCGCGGCCATTCTCTTCTTTTCTGGCACATCGCCCAAATGGGTTGAAATATATGTGTGTATGTTTTATCCACCAACTGTACATTTAAAACTTATGCCAATTCCTCTTCCTTCTTGTCCTCCTCGTACTTTAACTTTTTACTATACTTTTTTCTTTATATTTCTTTTTTTAACACAAAACAATTTACAGCAGAGAAAGAGAAAAAGAGGGAAAGTATTTCCTTTATTTTTAGTTAACCTAAAAATTAACTTCCACGTTTTTTTTTCGCTCACTCCACCCTCCGCATTCTTTAAATATTTTTATACTTATCCTATCGCGGTCTTGCAATAAAAGGCAATAATAATAACAAAAAAATACGCGCAAGTTTTAAAATTTTAATTCAGAATTTAACACGCGAAATGAAAGATCAACGTTGCACACGTTGACGTTTGAGGTTAGAATCGACAGGTAGCAGTAGCAGCGAAAACGTTGCGAGCATGCGCGACGCGCGCACAACACATACGCAACGCCATACACACACATACACACACATCATAAATACGTAACGCATATATTCATCGTTGAAAATAGTTAAAGTTAGGTTTAGCTTGCTCGACGCTTCATTCGGTTCGATTCGGTAGGATTCGGCTTCACTCGGCATAGCTCGTTTCTCTTTTTTTTTCGAGAACCCCCACTACTTATCCCCCATTACTCCTCCACCATCTTTGTTTCCCCTCCACTATATCAAGCGCCATCTCTTTCTATCTTTTACTTCTTCCTACTACATCAGTCCTTTTCTCTCTCTTTCTCTCTCATCCGTACTCTTACCCTTTTTCAAATCCTAAATTTCGAGGTCACAATTCAAACAAAATTCCATTCTATATATTTATCTTTCTCTTTTTATCTCACTACTTTAATTGTGTGTGTGTACTTCACACATGTGTGGTATGTGCATACGTATACGTATCAGTTGTGTAACGCATGTAAGAAATTGCGATTACCGTAATAGCGAAAATAATGTTTGGTAATGCGACAAAATTGACGAAATTTAGCCAAGTGAGTAGAAAGAAAAAAAATGATTTCTAATGAACATTGTATGAGTATAAGTACATCACATGTATGTGTATATGTTTTTAACGTTTGTAAATTTAACAAGGACCTTATTGCAATCATCGCTAAATTTATTATTATACATTGAATTGTTTAATAGTTGCAACATGTGAATACATACTATATAATGATATTTTGAGTGGCGCCTAAACTCTTACACTGTTACCTCTTTCTCAGACAGAGAGAGACACACATATATACATACATACTAACTCACTCACTCATTCTCATCGGGACAGACTCCCGCTTGAACTTTTTTGTTTCAAGGTCGCACGGATTTGACTACCACTAGTCTATTATACACATATTATACTCATTCGATTTAACGATAGTGATGATAAAAGAGAGTTAAAAACAATTAACCCTTTCTAGAGAATTTAATAAATTGTCAATGTTATATTGGACATTTAATTCATTTGGAATTCCAACGAATCTAATATCCAGAGAATTTACTCTACCATCAATTAATTAATGGCCCACGACCGTGACTATGACCATGACCGTGAAAGATCTTTTGATATTCAAAGTTAGAAGATTTAACATTCCAAATAGTAACTAACTTTATATAAACGAGAAGTAGTAGTAGTAGAAGTAGAAGAAGAAGAAACTTTAGTTAAAACTCTAATTAGAGTTTTATACTTGGGTTGGTATCTATCCATATAATTTATAATAAAATAAAAAAAATTAATGATTGTAGATAAAAATAAAATGAAAATATTGTTTGAACTAGCATTTTGTAAAAAAAAACCAAAAAATAACTGTAATTGGAAGAGGAATATATTTATATAATCTATCTGAAGTTGGCATACCTGTGCATTTGTACGGGGGTGGATCTCGGAGGCAAATGTTGATTATGAGAGACCGCTGGTTGAGCCTGAGCCCTACCAGGGGTCGACGTACCGCCAACAAGCGAATGCCCGTGACTCCCATGGGGATGTCCGTGAGGGTGGGAGTGCGGGTGTGGTGGATGCGAATGGGGGTGAGGATGGTGATGGTGGTGCAGGTCTCCCCCCACTGGGCCGACCGGGCCCACTGGGCCCCCCACCCCCAGTCCACTCACTACCTGGACCTGTTTGCCCACTGTCTCCATCACCCCTAGCGCATTATGTACTGAAACAAACCGATTACAATCAATTTATTATATTTTTATATTATAATAATCTAATATTTTATATAATATATATTATGTTACACTTCAGTATAATTTACTATAGTATATTAATTATAATATTGTATAATACTGTACAGTATACTATGATAAGAAATTTACTATAATATAATATACTAAAATATGTATAAATATACTATAGTATATTAACTACAATATATTCAATACACTATAGTATAATAATTACAATATTAATTATAATATATGGCAATATATTAAGTATACTATAGTATATTAATTATGATATTGTAAACTACTGTACATTATACTATGATAATAAATTAACTATATTATAAAATATACATATATATATTTTCAGTATACTATAGTATATTAATTACAATATTGTAAAATACTATAATACAATAATACTGTACAGTATACTAAGATGATAAATTTACTGTATTATACTATACCAAAATATAAATATATATTACATATAAAACAAAAAACAAAATAAATCTTTTTAAAAACCTTACACATAAGTAAAAAAGTTGCAACAAAAATTATCAAAGACCATTGATACGAAGAAAAAAAAACACATACACTCGCACACAAAATTATACATTCATACAACTAAACCTTTTTTTCCAGGAAATTGAATTGCGCGCGTTCGGACTTCAAAATGGCGATGAATAGGAGGAGAATATAGAAAGAGTTGAAAAGAGAGAAAGGGAGAGAGATAAAGATGTGTGATGCGTGCACGTTCTCAAAGTTGACTTGTATGTAATGCAGCAGCAAGGATTGCTGCATTGCAGCATAAAACAGCAATCGTGAGAACTATTACTATCTTATAGTTAACAAATTCCAATGTGTTTGACGATGTGAAGGATAATTACGTGACGATTAGAACAAATAGTCAAAAAGATAAAGGTAAACGGGATGGAAAATGGCAGTGGGTTGGGGAGGGGGGTTGAAAGGGGTGTCAGATTAGGAAAGGAAACAAAAAACAAACAAACAAAATAGTATATGATAAAAAAAAATGTAAACAAGTTATCCAAATATTTGAAACCTATAACGTAAGCCATAACCTAAAAAGTAAAACTGTCACATGCACGCATATACTTACACACATACATATATATGTTATCATTATAGTCATCGTTTAAAAAAAGAAATAAACGTTTGTTTCATGAGTCGTGCATTATACTAATCATCGTCGTGTAAATTTTGTAATAGTCACTTTTAAAAATATACATACTTTAATATATGTATGTTGTCAATTATACTAAAGATAATTAATATCTGAATAATAAATTATACAAATGATGAGTCAAATACAATAAAAAAAAGATTATTACATAACCTAAAAATTGTAATTAACTTTAAAAAAGAATTAGTTTGAAAAAAAACAATACTTTTAGTTCACCCAGTATATAATTTTGCAGGGACTGGCTCTATAATCTTTTATAATATGAGTAATCCATTTGTATATTGTTTAAATAAAAAAAGCTGAAAAATATGTTTAAGAAAGAAAGATGAGAAAAAATGTGTATTACTCGTTGAAATTTCTATATGACGTGTACATTTGATATGTATGTGTATATGTATGTGTATAGGTATGTAAGTATATATGTATGTACGATTGCACATATATATGTAGGATATATATATATATATATATATATATATATATCCTACGTAAAAATATTACATCTATATGAAAAGGGTATGGCTCTTGGATTAAAGCAGAACTACTAGCCCGAGGTGAATGCACTAACTTGCACCGAGCTGCACCATCATCACAATGAACTATACAACTATATACATATATATATATACATACATATATATATATATATATATATATATATGATTCATACTATTTAACTCAGAAACACCTACGACAAACGTGTTTAACCAAGTTGGACATACAATTGTAGATATATATATTTGCATAAGATATTTTTTACATATACATGGTGACAAAATTACAATCACCAAGTTGATAACAAATTATATATATATGAGAATAGTTCATTTTTAATGCCGATGGTGTATAAATTGTTAACAGGGTTCTTATTTCTTTTCTATTTTATATTTCAATATTTTTTAGTAACCTGTAACGTTCTCTAATCTTATTTATTTAAAAAGTTACCGACCGTCGATAAGAAACACCATTGAATGTAAACATTTAAATAAAATTGAACCACATAAGAGATGACAATTCTTTTTTTTTCTACTTATCTGAGATAAAATCGAGACAAATTTAATTCTACAGAAGTTTACAACCTGTAACAGCTGTTTATATTTTCTCGTCCTTTATTATTATTACATTTACAAGATAATAATTATCTATCCTCACTCTCTCTCTTTCTCTCTCTCTCTCTCTCTCTTTCGTGGCGTGATATCTATCCCATGTTTATGCAACAAGTGTTGTAACAAATACATTGAGACACGTAAATGCGCGTGCGCGAGCGCGAGAGAGAATTATAACAAACACACATATACATTATACAAACATTCTCACACGTACACAATGAGATTACGTTTCATCCAGATTTTTTTTATCCGCCATTATCGGACAAGTTATTGATTCTAATTATCAACATAGAGAAATACACACATAGTTGATTATATTTTTATCCATATCACTTATGTTTATTAAATAAGTAAACAAAAAAAAGGATAAAATAAATAAATAAATAACAATAATAATAATAATAATAAAGAATATTATTAAATATATTATTATTTTAGATACTAATTTGACTAATCAAAAATTCCAAAAAATTCCAAGAATTTAAGATTTTTTTAGAAAAATCACAAAAATTATATAAATATATAATTTATATATTTAATTTTTATTTAATTAATATTTATAAATTATAAATAAATAATACATAAATATAATTTTTTTATTAATTAAAATAAATAACATATATAAATTCAAAATGGCGAAAATTAAATATGGGGTTAGAGAGAGAGAGAGAGAGGGAGAGATAAAAAGAAAACACGTTAAAATAAAAAAATTGAGGTTAGGTTTGATTGCTCACCGGTAATGACGTCAGCTGTGGAAGGCAGTCCGGCGGATCTCCTTCGAATTTCTCCAAACAAATTTGGCCCGGCGGCTTTAATTTTCTTTCGGTTGAAATTAATAACACCACCAACAACAACAACAACAACAATAATAATAATAATAATAATAATAATAATAATAATAATAATAATAATGATGATGATGATGATGATAATAATAATTAAAAAAATGGCGTAGTTGGTAAATAATATTATAATAATTCACCGTTTGAGTCTCGAGTGAAAATTATGTACGTGTACGCGCGCGATCACGCACTCATACGCGCACGTAGTATTATACATATGTACGCGATTATACACACCACCCCCTCCTCCTCCACCCCGTTCTTCTTATTTTGCACCAATCCTGTTGACGATGCTTCTACTGCTGCTGCTGCTTCTCTTTCTGTTGCTGTTGCTGTTGCACGATGATGACGAAGAATTTCTTTAATTTATATTTTTTTATTCTTTTTTTTACAATATTCACCTTATTTTTATTTTTTTCTTTGAAAAACCCGCACAAGTTTACTCCATTGCATTTATTACCCTCTAATCCACACCACCGTGTCTTTTATTTTAATTATTTCAATTTTATTTATTTTCACATTGACACACGACACCCCCTTTTCTTTTATAATTAATTTGTAGTTGTAATATTAATATTATTATTATTATTATTATTATTATTATAATTAATATAGATATTATTATTATTATTATTACTATATTAATATTATTATTGTTATTAATAATATTAGGTATTATTTGAATAATTTCCTTTTCTTTTGTTTGTCACTTCTTCGATTATCAACACTCACTGTACGTTCACCCCCTTTCTAATATATATATATATATATAGGGGTGTGTGTGTATATATGTATGTGACTTTCTTCTTCACTTTTACACACTCGTGCACACTTAAAACCCGCGGGCACACAAACACGCGAGATCCGGCACTGTGTGTCACGTGTTAACAACCATTGTCATCGTCATCATCGTCGACACTAATAATATTACTACTACTACTACACCTTGCATCGTTTTATTTTCTTTCACTTGTATTGTACACCCACCAACCTTCGCTAAGGTCCTCCTCCATTAAGTCCCCAAAAAAATTTCTTCCACCTTTTCTTTTCTTTCTAAAACCACCTATGAAAGAAAAAAGAAAAAAAAATGATATGTTTGAACCCTGCTGAACCCATCACATACTTTTCCCAACTTTTCAATCCACCACCACTACTATAGAAACCACTATAATAATTTATTTTTATCTTTTTGGGACTTAAGACCCAACTCTCCCACCACCACCAACACAAACCATCATTCGACAATCTGGTCGGGATCTTCGAAAGAAAAAGTTTTCTATTCAAAATCCTAACGCGTTTAGTATTCCTGGACAGTTTTCTTAGAAATGTATATTCTAACCTAACTTAAAATTTATTAGAATAATTTTATTGTAAGAAAAAAACCATAAAAAGAAAATTGATCTCCCTATAACTAGTTGATTCTTTAAAATATTTCAACTTTCTTCCTATTACGAAACATATTTTTATATTTCCGCGAATAAAAGAAACAAAACAATTGTCTGGATGTTCCTTTTTCAATGTCCCACCCGGTATATAGAAAAAAAGGAAGATGTGCAGCCCCCAGCATATGCTTCAGGATTCTTTGACCTTTTTGTAATTCAATCTTCTTTTCTAATATACAGGGTACCCAAAAAGTTTCTAAACAATTTCAAAAATTACTTCAGAACTTTTGGAGTACCCTATATGCAAAATATATATATATATATGAAAATAAGTTTCGATTTTTTGAGGAGGGTGTGGATCAAACGTGTCACGTTTCGACAGGACTCTCTTGGTTGTTCATTCTTTCATTGTCTCGCGATAATTTCACTTTCTTTTCTACAACAACTCTTTAAAATAAAAAAAATTCTTGTTAAAACCCTTAAAAATGTCATCCGTAACAAACCAATCTAACATACACACATTTATACTTCTTTTCCGTTACTAATTCGTTTTTTAAATTTTTATTTCGATTACTCGATCGGTAATATTATTAAATTGAATTCATTTGTTTCCACCATCTTGAATTTCTTCTAATCCTTCGTAATGAGAAAGAGAAAGACAGTAGTAGTAGTAGTAGTAGTAGTAGTTTTTCTCATTTTAAATCCTGGAAATAATCCTCTCGTGTCCTTCGATTTTATCCTGTAACAAAAAAGATAAAATAAAAAAATCAAATAATGTTTCATAAATTGCAATCATATTTACAACAACATAAAAACAGTGTACGCATTACCAGTATATGTTGGAACGTAAAATAGGTTAACCTATGATACACGTATGTAAATGATGATGATTATTCCAACGCAAAAGAGAAAGAGAGAAAGAAAGAATAAAAAAAGAAAAAAGAAAATGAACGTCTAATCAGTCTAATTACGAACGCGTTCATCGTCTAATCGCATCGTTTATATATTTCACACGCAAGCGCGCTAAACGCAAGGTCGTTCGGTACAGTGAACTTAGGCTTCGGTACTTGTTAATTAATACCCAGACAGTGCACAAAGTCCTGAGTACACATACTTTCCTCTTTATATAATGTTCATCCATAAACCCCTCTTTTCTTTCTCACTTTTACTCTTAGGATAATGTTAGTTAGCAACAACGATAAAAATGATTTTTCTTTTTTTTAAATTTTGTTTGATCAGTTATGCAGTTTTATCAGAAAATATTTTTCTATTTAATATATTATTTTGTATTAATTATTATTTAAAAAAAAAATTCAAATGTTCGATCGGTAATGCAGTTTTATCAACAAATTTTTTTTATTCCATATTATTTTTGTATTATTATTATTATTATTTAGATATTATTATTTATTATTAAAATCAATAACTATAGTTTATTATAATATTATAAAGAGAAATTATATATTCGACATTCAAGTTGATTAATTTTGGGGATGAAATTTTGAAATAATTCCAATATGGCCGCCGCTCGAGCGTAAGACATTCAAGATTTCATAAACGTAATATGAATAATTTAAATAACAAGAAAAAGAAAAAGATACAGAGAAAGAGAGTAAATAATTACACTCAAAAGAATGTCAACTCAACCTCAATAAAACTCGGCTAGGAAGTCGACAAGTTTAAAAGTCTCTTTCTCTCTTTCTCTTTCCCTCCATTTTTGTTCTTGTCCTAACCTCTTCAAAACTAAAACGATTCTAATGGAAACGACTTTATTTCGAAAAAAAAAGAAACACAGCTGAACCGAAAAAGGGAACATGAGAACAACGTATTTTGAATTCGAAGACACACTTCGTATATTTTGATGCTCCAAAAAAAAAACAAAAAAAAAATAACATACACAAACATACATACATAGAAATTATTATGGGGAATAAAAAAGTGCATTAATTGGTAAATATATCAAATATTTCATTAGAGAAACAAGTTTTATTTTTATTGGTCGTGTATGAACACAGTTCACCACAAACACATACACACATAGAGAGAAGCACATTCATACATACATACATACATAGATTGAAATACACAGAGAAGTAAAGAGGTCGATCGATCTGTTGAACAGTGGGAACGATGGTACGAGGAAGCATCTGCCGACACGATGACGATGAACATCTAAATGTGTAGCTACTAGTAACAGCAGTATAACATTACTAATGTAAGTTTCTTCTCTTTAAGAGGTTAAGTAGCACATAAAAAAACAAAAGAGAAAAAAATGGCGGGAAACTTGACCAATCAAAATTGAAATATTATCATTTCCAAGTATACTAAAGATACAACAACAATAAAAGTAACTAGATTTCTTATTTATATTTCAACGAATCAATTTAAGATTGTCCCTAGATGATCCTATATGCACTACGAGAATGAATAAAGAAATTGAATCGTGACCTATTGTAAGAAATAAGTATTTCATTTGAGTATACATACAAAATTTATGAATCAAATGAGAGACTGAATATTTTGTTCGCTATTATCGGTTCGATTTTACTACAAAATTTATTTGAACAAAATTCAAAAAAAGAAAAATACTATATATATATATATATATAATACCATATAATAATAAATATAATTATAAATATTATAAATATTTTTTTTTATTTAAACATATACTTTATTATTTATTAATTATATAAAAAATAAATTTTTATATTATATAATATATAATAATAAAAAAGAAAATAAGTTTCGCACACTATGGTAAAAAATTAAAAACAAAAAAACAAAAAAAACCAACCATACTCGAAGGGGAATCTTCGAAAAAGAAAAAAATACAAAAAAAAGAAGGAAGTGGGGAAGTGGGGGTAGAGGGGGGTAAGGGAAGAAAAAAAGGAAGAGAGTACAACAGAAGATACAACGGAGCTAAGAAAGATATTCCCCTAGTTCTCAACCATTGGTTGGCTCAAAGTAAACAAGCGTGGTGCAAGCACACTGTTCTCCCCCCCCCCACCCTCTCGCCCTTCTCAGAAGCTTTGCCTGGAGTTTGTCGAGACGACGCAGTCCTTGCGTTTTGAACCACACCACCACCACCACCACCACCACTACTATCATACTACCACTTACACGCATGGGTCATTTCACCAATACTACTAAACTTTTCTCATTCGTTTCTCTACTGTGTAAAACCCCCCACTATAACCTCACTATGGGGAACATGGACTTATCCATTCAACACCACTACTAACTATTATTACAAACGATCCTTTTTCTTCTTCTTCTTCTTCTTCTTCTTACTCTGTGTGACCTCTTCGTCCTTGTTCACACACAAACACATACACACATTTATAAAGAACCATCGTATGATCTTCTATCCCTTTTCAACGTATCAACGTAGTTGTATTATTCTCTTTATTTTCCTTTTTCTTTTTTTTTTTCATTTATTCTTTTTCTTTTCGTTGGTAACTCAAACAGTATGCAAAGAAAATAAGAAAAAAAAAAAATAACAGACATATACCACATATACGCATACACTCGGTGGTTCGTCCGTTCTGTTCGTTCCGCTCGTTCCGCTTGTTCCGCTTGTTCCACACGTTCCCTTTGCTTTAACGCATACAAAAAAAAGCAACCATCTTTTTCTCTTGCTTTTTATTTAAATATTCTTTCTCTTTCTATCTTACGGTGCACCGAATCCATTTATGAGAATCTTTACTTTTGAATATTAAAAAAAGTATCAATTACGATTAATATTATATTAAAATATTAAAATATGATTGATATATTATAGTGAACACGAAAAAATTTCTAAAAATTAAACGGTGCTCCAAATTTCGACCAGAGGAAAAGAAAAAATTTCTCTCTCTCGATTTTCTATTTAAAAAAACACTTCGTAAATCGATGAAATTCCATTAGAAAAAAATAAAAAAAATATTCTATCGACATTTTTATATCTCTCTTCTTCCTCGTGTTCGGTATACCTCTAAGAATCTGTTAGAATATTTCGATATAAAAGTGAAAAAAAAAAATAAAAAAGAAACCGTAAAAGAATTTTCAAATTGTTCGAAGAAAAAGTTGGTTACGATATATATATATATATATATATATATATATATATATATATATATATATATATATATATATATATGTATTCCACCCTCTCGATAAACTTCATCCCTTTTGCAATACTAACATTTCCCTCTCCTCTTTTCTGCAACCACCCCGTCACTCTTCCAACATCTCATTTTAAGAACCATTTCATCTATCCCCTCCCCTCTCCTCTCCCTCGACCGTTCAATCGATTCCAACACACACGTGCATTTCTAAATGTTTTTTTAAACTTTTTTTCTATGTGGAAACACTTACATACCAACATAATAAAAAAAAAAAGAAAATAAAAGAGCGAGATAGAAAATGACACAAAAGAGAATCTTGCAACACGCACGCACACACACAAACACGTATAAATAATACGCACATATTCAGTAAATATTTATTCGCGAACGAGTTTAAATTTAAAATTCAAGATCAACGTGATAAGAAAGTGTGCAGAAATACATATGGACAGACTGGCAGACAGACAAACAAACAGACGAATGACAAATGAATCGCCATATTGTTTTTTTAACTTTTTTCATTTGTTTTACTATTTTATACGGGAATAATACTAAGTAAGAGTTAACATATGACTGTTTTGGCTTCTGTTGGATTCCAGTTACACCTATGTGACGTTTATTATTATTATTATTATTATATATATATATTTATAAACATACGTATGGATTCGTAGACTCACGTAGTACACGTGACACAGTTGCATTCCAAAAAGAAGACCAGAGATTATATAAAAAGGAAATATATATATATACATGTGTGTGTGTATGATATACACGTAACAAAACTTTTCCATATAATTCGATGATCAATTCAATAATGAGGAAAAAAAAAACAAGTAATAATAATAAAGGAAAAAAAAAAGACACAACGAAGAATTTTTCTTGCGAATATGTTACTTCCTGGACAGATCACGAACCATCATCGTCATCATCATCATCATCCGATTGTTCATCGTGCAAGCTACTACGTGTGTGCCTGTATTGAGCTTCCCCCCACTTTTCTCATTTTATCCATCCCTCTTTTGCTATACGCCGTTATCCCCACCACTTCTACCCGATGATAACCAGTACGGTGTTGTATCATTCAGGTACGCCCGGAGACTAACCGAACCGAACTGAGCCGAATATTACCGAATACACGTAACGTTAACTACCGAATCAAATTCACCCAAAATTCTCTCATATTATTTTTTGTCAAATCTTATTTCGATAATTTTTTATTAATAACAACAAAAATTGTTATTATAATAGATTATAATAATAATTATTATTATTACACATAAATACATCATACAAAACATATACACGTTTTCTAAAAATTTCAATATGGACGTTTGAATGTAATATATATATATAATAATATAACAAAAAAAAAAAATTAAAATTATAAATGACTCTTTTGTAATGTTGATTTTGTCTACGCATATGAATCTTAATTATGTTAATTATATTATTTAATTAGTAATATTTTTTTTCCTTTTTAATGTATATATATGCACACGCACATAGGTTATGTATAATCTATGCACTAGCTAGAATATATGACTAAAGAAATGTACAAAGGGAAACAGAAAGATAGAAAAAGAGAGAGAGAGAGACATATGGTGAATACTCAGGTGGAACGAGGCCAACCTTTACTGTAGCCAACGTTGTTGAGCGCCAGTATGAATTGAAGAAAGCCAACGAATTCAAGAAAATATATATATATATATAT